CTCAAATCATTTCACAAACATATTTTAGTGTACTGTTTATCTGGAATATGAAATCCTGTGTGACCAGGCTGCCTCTGAGCCACAGCCACCAATACTGCTATATACTGTCCACAAATGGAAAATAAAGGCAGCAGCATAAGTGGAGTCAATGATAACTTCTCTGTCATTTTAAGCTTCTGCCTGCTTAAAATTACCAACAGTAAATCGATGCAAGGCTGCTGTGAAGCTTGGAAGTGGTGTGTTTGAACAGAGTGGTGTGTATGTGTGTGTGTGTGTTTCAGCAGAAAAAGAGAGAGGAGACAGCTGGAAAACAAGGAAGATAGAGAGAAGTGACAGGGCCTGATTGAAAAGCGTCACTGACAGCAGATGAATGGATGACTGCTGTCATGTATCTGAACAGATACAGTATCTCTTCTCTCACTCTGGGAGTGTGTGTGTAGGTGTGTGTGTGTGTATTTGCTGTTTGAGGAGTAACAGCAGGGGCTGAGGAGAATGAGACTGTGGAGCAAGGACAGACAGCATACAATATATAAACAGTAAACTCTGAAGGAACACATCACACAATGTACTTAATGACTTTAAATGAAAGATTAATTACTAATTGGGTTGCTGGATGAATGACGGTTCATCCAGGCAGGGACACAAGAAAACATGATTAATGAAGACAGTGTCTGAGTAAGGTGGCCTGTGAGGGACATATTTGATTTTTTTAATGAGGCGGTGGTGGTCAGGGGAGGTCACTCGGAGGTAAAGAGGCAAAAAAATCTTGATTTGAATAAACTGCTATGGGGGAAGTTTATTAATATGGAATCTTCTTCCCTTACTGGCCAGTGGAGCTGAATGTGTGCATGTGTTGTTCTTCATTTAGTTAATTGTTGAGCTCTCCGACTCTCTTCCTCTTCAGGGCCACTGACTAATTGTAAAAAATTATAAAAGCGACAAATGATAGTTTGCTGGGCAAGGAGAGTTGGGGGATGAAACACAGCAAAGGCAGTAGTGTTTCCATCCACCTTTTTTCCTTGTCTTGACAGGCTCATGTTAGATAAGACCCACGTTCTTGAGGTTTGGCAGCTATTTAAGTAAGTAAATCCAACTTTATTTATATAGCACTTCTCAAAACTGGGGTTACAAAGTGCTTTCAGTCACAATAAAGACGATTACAATTAGTATTTACAACAAATGATACAAATAAGGGCAGGGAGGGATCAGTAAAATGCCTGAGAATAAACAGTTTGCTAGTCTGACCCTAAGAGAGAGGGATTCTGTTCCATAGTCCAGGACAGCAAAAGCTTGGTCTTGAATGAAGTTTACAAGTTAAACTTTAAATGGGAATAAATCAGGAGCGCTTGTTCTGATGACTAAGGCCTGGAGGACCTGTAAGGGATTTGCTCCTCACTCATATATAATGGAGCCAAATTGTGTAGTGCCTTAAAGGTAATTAATAGGAATTTAAATTCAATCCTAAATTTAACAGGAAGCCAGTATAGTGCAGCCCAAGGCGGAGTAGAATGTGAATGCAGAGTTTGTAGACAAGACACAGCTCTAATCAGCAAGCTGGCCTACTGGTACCATCTGCTTGCTGTTATCTCTCTTTTAAAGCTGGATGGACTGATAAACAAATTGACTGCCTGTGTGCCGGACCAGTCGCACGGGGAGGGGAAAACAAAACAAAACATTAACTGTACTCCTAACAGTTTGGTTTGTCTGTTTTGTAGAAACATGGTAGTTCAATATGGTCTCCATGGAAGAGGAACCGCTCTCTCAGTAGATTAAAAACAGCTCATTCTAAGGAAACAAAAACACAATGTTTCTTATTTTCAGGCAATTATACACTGATGAAAACATACCTATATATATATATATATATACACACACACACACACGTATAATATTCTGACAATAGCCCTCCTAAATGTTACACACTGGACCTTTAAGTGTAGACTGACTGTGAGATAGCTATCATTTCCCTGCAATAGACCTTTTGTCACAGCAGCCATTTTGACACGAACAAGTAGGGTAAACACACACGTTACCAATGATACTAAGATTCGATTCACCGGAAATGCTCTGCTATACTAAATGGAAGTGAGCCTTATAATAATGACCATTTGTCACGCGTGTTTCCCCTACAATTTTATGTCAAATGTCTGCTGTGAAAAGGGTTCATTTCTACCAAAAAATTTCCGTTGTGAGAAAGCTTATGAAACACATCTGTCGGTAAACTCCTAGCTACGACGGAAGAGTGTCTCATTGAGGCAGTCCTACCCATGACACTAAAGCTCAACTCGTACGTTATGTTTCTATATAGACAATAATGCAGGTGAAGCCAGCCCTTGTCTTTCTTTACGTCCATTACTTTTGAACAGACACCATTTTGCTTAAAGTCAATACATTTAGTCCATAAAGCAACACTAAAGACAGAGGAGCCTGACGTGCCTCGTCATCTTCGTCTGTTATGTTTGACGAAAGAGCTCGTGAACAGCTGTGTCGCGTGCGATGCGAAGAAACGACACGCGCTATAAGCAAAGCACACGAGCCTGCGAGCTCCACTGATTAA